ACAACTGTTTTCTCATCATTCAATAAGTCTCCTCTATTTGCTTGTTTTTGTTGTTCATTCGTTCAGTCACCTCCAACCTTTTGCGACTTCATGGACCAGCTCACACCAGAGCTCCTTGTCGGCCATCACCACCTTCAACTCCTTGAGACTTCTAATATGTTTCAGGTCTATGTAATTGTGATCTTTCCAATAGAAATCTTACAGTTGTAATGTGGAGGCTAAATTTCTGGATGAAACAAGTGAGTTAACAGGAGAAAAAAAACTGTTTCTATTTGGAAAGTCCTAACTTTTATTTAACAGTATAGACCTGCTTGTGTATACTTAGAAACAAGTCCCACTGATTTCAATTGAAGCTATCTTTCACATGGACTACATGCCACTTTTAATGGATAATGGGAACATCCTATTTCACATCGGTCAAACTCAAGATCCATGGGCCGAATCCAGCCTGCAATGTCATTTCATGTGGACCTCCAGATGCTAGACTAAAACTCCTGAATTCCTCATCATTTGATGTCATGACTAGAGATGATGGGAGTTGTCAGAAGGTAACAACTGCCAGGCTACACCTCACAACGAAATTGCAAAGAATTCCTTTGCTTAGTTGTCAGCTAACCTTAAAGATCAGGCAGTGCTCCATCAATTACTTCAATATGACATGTCTTTCTGAATTTTTAAAAGAAATGATACATTTTGATGTCAACGGCATATGTACTAGAGCCTTAAAGGTACAACCCTAATGAATTTTAAGCAGGAGTGTCACGGCCACTCACTACAGAACAAGAGGGGGGAAGCCAAATGTCTTCCATCTGCAGTTTCTGAAAGACAGTTTTACTTACACTCAGCAGGTAATACCAGGGCTTTCTGCAGGATCCTGGCATGCCGCTGAGTAGAAGATACTGGAGGCTGACTGAGAGGCATTCACGGCTGTGCTGCAAAGACTTTAATTTACTTAAATGCTGGTTTATGAAACTTTTCCATTTTGCCCATCCACATTTTTCTTGAATTTTAAAAACGGCACTGTAAAGTTCATTGCCATTAAACTCTGACTTATTGTATGCATTCTTTGGTTCTTTTGTAAAGGCACATGAAACACTATGTATTTAGAGCCATTTTTTTCCTTTCAGTGCTTTTCTTTCTTTTGATTCCCATCACTGAAAGGAGAAAGATGTAAATGCTAAGCCTATTATGTATGACTTCTGTTATTTTGTCGTCGGGCATACATGAAGGGTAAAAAAGTTACTGAAGAGTCCCTAGAATAAAGACAGCTCAGAAAAAGTAGTGGGAGTTTTCAGAAATCCCTATTCATCAACTATGAGATTACTAGCACAACTTGCAAGTCAGGAACATTTCACTTCTGAGTAGTGATTGTGTCAAGAAAGAGTCAATGTGGCATTCAAAATGTAAGTGAGGTATATATATCTACTGAAGTTTCAGAGTTTATTTCTCATTCCAGAAAGTCCAAGGTCTTCTTAACTATTGCTTTTCAACCTTTGGTCCTCCAGGTGTTTTGGACTTCAGCTCTCATAATTCCTAACAAGTGGTAAACTGGGATTTCTGAGTATTGAAGTCCAAAACACCCAAAGGTTGGGAACCACTATCTCAACTGTGGTTTTCCTGCATTGCAGGGAGTTGGATAAGATGGCCCATGTGGTCTCTTCCAATTCTTTGAGTCTATGTTTCTAGTTGCTCGGATGAAAACTCACTGGGGTAAGAGAGAGAGAGGACAGCAATTTTTCCTGCCTGTAAGGCAGCCAATGGTCCTAGGATACTGAGCAGTAAATCATGACTTCATAGTCAGTTAGCAAGACTGACTTGACCCAGGGCTTCTGTTGGTAAGGGAAGAAATAAGAAAGGAAGTCTGTTCTCTGGCACATTTGCAAGGAAACCCTGCAGATGGTATTCTAAAGCAGGTTTTTTTCATACTAAACAATTATGGCACCATATTCTATTTTGACTGCTATGGCTCCATCGTAATTATAGTCTCAAAGCTCCCTTTCAGAAATATGGGATACCTTTAAAAAGAATAATAGGAAATTTCTGAAAAAGAGCATCCCACATTATAATACTGAAAAACTAAAATTAAATAATTCCCAGACAGGGAATGTGAACTTCTCGCTGAGACAGTTTGCTTCCTTTATATCAGTGGTTCCCAACCTGTGGTTGGTGAACCACCAGTGGTCCAGAAAAATGAAAATATGGTCCGTGGTCTCACTATTATGACACCGTTGCCTTGAAACCACATGGCAACCAGAGTGACTGGTCTCATATAACCCTCTTATAGTGCCCAGGCAACAGGGATGTCAGGAGGGGAGAGGCTGACTACCCACAAAAGATTACTACTACCACATCAGCTCTAGATTATTAAATATGGTTTTCTGTGGGCGAGCAGATGGCGATTACAGGATGGYACATGTTCTGTATCAGAAACTAGAGCTGATGTGGCCTGTCCAATGCAAATTTCTGAATCAGCATCCCAAATTACCAAACCAAATCTAAAGTTGACCAAAAAACCGATTCGTAACCCTTTTGGTGCTAATGTTGGAGAGTGGTCCCTGGTCAAGTGGTCCCAAAGGTTGGGAACCACTGCTTTATATGTGTGTGTGTGGGGGGGGGGCGGACCTTGCTTTGCATATTAATATTTACTCATTAATTTGTAAATATAATGTTTTATGAATTATTTATCTGCAAATATTAATGTTTATTAATATCTGTAAATATTAACATTTACTAATCATCTTTAATTATGACTGCTTATGGGGTTTTCAAGAATAACTACAGAGTTACACTTAAAATGTAGTTTTCCACTTTTCAATATCACAGTCCAGTTTGTGTAATATTCAGGTTTAAACAGAGTCAGATGTGTTAATTTCAGGTTCTCGGGCAATAAATTGTAGGTTTGGATAAACATTTCACACATCTGATATTGCAAGTTATCATGAAGAATTAGAGTCCTTATGTCCTGCTTCTTTTGTACATTTGCAACTTTCCTCTGAACTCTTAAAACAAAACAGTTTGACAAAACTTATTTAAAAATTGGGGAATCTGAAAGGACAAGAAATACTCCTGCTTGTGGTATTTAGTCCTTTTTACTGCATATCCTAGTAGCTACAGACATGCACACCCTGGCCCAAATGTGCAAAAAACAGTCACTACCAAACAATTACAAACAATCTGAATCCAAATCAAATCAAAAATGAGATGGATATCATTCGGTACAGAAGGATATTACAGGCAAAGATGAAGTACTTTGACCACATAATGAGAAGACGGGAAGGCTTGGAGAAGATAATGGTGTTGGGGGGAAAGGAAGGAAAAAGGATGAGGGGCCGACCAAGGTCAAGATGGATGGATGTTATCCTTGAAGTGACTGGCTTGACCTTGAAGGAGCTGGGATTGGCAATGGCCAACAGGGAGCTCTGGTGTGGGCTGGTCCATGAGGTCACAATGAATTGGAAGTGACTGAACGAATAAACAACAACATCCTGTACACCAGGGGTCCTCAAACTTTTTAAACAGAGGTTCACAGACCCTCAAATTGTTGGAGGTCCAGATTATAATTTGAAAAAAACATGAATGAATTCCAGTGCACACTGCACATCTTATTTGTAGTGCAAAAAACACATAAAACAATACAATAATTAAAACGAAGAACAATTTTAACAAATATAAAATTATTAGTATTTCAATGGGAAATGTGGGCGTACTTTTGGCTGATGAGATAGGATTGTTGTTGTTGTTTTTGTGTGCTTTCAAGTCATTTCAGACTTATGTTGACCCTGAGCAAGGGCCAGGTAAGTGACCTTGGAGGGCCGCATCCGGCCCCAGGGCCTTAGTTTGAGGACCCCTGCTGTACACAGTATTACAGAATAACTGCTTGTTTTCCAATTCTCTCATCATTAGAAAACTATCCACCAATTATTTGGAATATTAAAACTATTTGCAGGCCTGACTGCCACTTTGATACCAAGGCAAATAGCAAGCAACTCCATAAAAAACTGGACTGGAGATCACTACAACTCTACTGACACTGCAGCTGCACATTTTGGCATGGCACGAAGCACAGATCCAAGGTGGAAACCAGCTGTTGAATGCCATTTGACCAAGCTTCCCAATCTGAAGTAAAAGATAGCAAGAGAATGGCAAGAGGGAGGCCATTCAAGTATGCTGGCACTGTGTGGTTCTGTCACTGCAGGCTTGTGTACCCAGTATGCCTCCCACACAATGCCCTTAAAGGGGATCCCTTCTGTTGGAAAGATAGGTTCGAAGCCAAACTCTTGCCACACACTGCAAAAATGTGACAATGTATGACATAGAATATGGAAATTGCCAAGCATTGGTGATCAACTAATCTGAAACTAAAGTTGATGGGTTTCCAAGCTGAATACCTTGTTGAGTGAGACATGCCTTGAATATATACATCTCATGTAGACCTAACTAAAACATTTTGCTTCAGTGTCCAGGTCTGGGAAGTGGCTAGTAAATGGCTGACTCTTTCCAAGCCCACAAAATGAAGCAAGGGAGCCTGGGAAAAGATAGCCCACTGGAGGAGGAAAATGCTGGCTCTGTTCATCCTTGCTCATTGAGACTGCTCACAGGAAAGTCTGGGGCTTGTGTCATTGTCAGGGCATTTTCTCTCACTGTTGGATTAAAACTCACAAGTGGCTCATTATGGCAAACAAAGGCTGGCCAACTAACTTTCAAAGATGGCAGACAAGCAAAAAAGCAGTTATGACTATGAATATTAAGATAGCCTATAGTTCTCCCCATATAACACAAAGGTGAAGAATGACCAGAGGAAATTTTCCATTCAAAAGGAATGGAAAACACTGTAAAGCACAGGAGAATTATCGATGTATTAGATAACCATGGAGTATTAGTTGCTGTAGAAAAGTATTAGGACAGAAATGAATATGCTGTGATCAAAGTTCTTTTAGTTCCAGTTTCATGCAAAAATAAACATTCCTGTCTCTATCAAACATTTTAAAAAGGCAACTTACTCTCTCATACGTCTCAGCTTGGTTGCTGCCGTGGTGTCATTGGGAGCTCTTGATCCCTGGAGTCCTAGTGGAGTCATGCTGGTGGCAGTTCCAGTACCTACAAATCAATGCACAGACGCGCATGGTTATTCACCTTGCTCCCCTCAGTATTCCTATAGATCTAATCCTGTGCTCCTCAAGGTCAATCAAGAAAGGGAGAACATGCACAGGAAAGTGTTGCATTAATTAAAGATGAATTATTAAAAACACATTAAAGAAACTTGCTTGAGTGGTCATACAAAGCAGAATATTCATTTTCCATTCAACACTGCATATTGAAACATCACAGTGTTCTGTAAAGGAGACTTCTATGGATAACTTCTATGGTAGTAATAAATTGCAAAAGAACACTTTTGGACATTTCCTCTATCTCTGCTCCCCTTTGCCCTCTCTATGGCACAACTATTTCTTATTATTTTGGTAGAAGGACATAGAGGTTGAGCATCACTTACTCAGAATTCCAAAATCTAAAATCCAAAACATTTTAGTCCCTTGCATTTCAGATAAGAAATACTCCATCTGTACTAAAGCTGTTGTAGCAATGTGAAAATTTTGAATATAGTGGACAATACTACCATAGCCTAATAGGCATTAACTCACTTTATTTTCATATGAACTTCAGACTGCAGGTGACCCTTATGTCTGATTTTAAGTTAAACTTCAGCTTTCAGATTAGAGGCCTATAAAATTACTCTTGCTGCTTTATATATCATTTCTAAAAAACCAGATAGGTTGCTAAGACCACAATACAACAACATCTGTTATAGAACTCCAATATGCTCATGACAACATTATCTGTGCGCATTCAGAAGAAGACCTACAAGCCACTCTAAACACTTTCGCAGAAGCATACGAGAAGCCGGGCCTGTCATTGAACATCGAGAAAACCAAAGTGCTCTTACAGCAGTCACCAGCCAATCCCTCTCCAATGCCATAAATACAGCTTAATGGTGTAACATTAGAAAATGTTGATCATTTCCACTCCCTTGGCAGCCACCTCTCCACAAAAGTCAACATTGACACTGAAATACAACACCGCCTGAGCTCTGCGAGTGCAGCTTTTTTCCGAAAGAAGCAGAGAGTGTTTGTGGACCGGGACATACGTAGGGATACCAAGGTGCTTGTTTATAAAGCTATTGTCCTCCCAACCCTGCTATATGCCTGCGAGACATGGACTGTCTACAGACATCACATCCAAGAGGAAGGCATGTCAAGCCAACCCCAGGACCCCCTTCTACCTGAAAACCAATGCCCTCACTGTGGGAGAAGATGCAGATCAAGAATAGGGCTCCCACAGTCACCTACGGACCCACTGCCAGTAACTGATCCTGGAAGACTATCCTACTCGGACAACTAGGGATCACCTAAGTAAGTAAATAAGTAAGTAAGTAAAAGTAATGCTCTCAACCTTGACGGTAACAGTGAGAGGTATCTCGGAATTCTTTGGATATGGCTGTCCAATAATGCTGATTTGAACAAAGATTCTGTAAATGAAAACAAGGTGATCTATCTTACAGGAAAAAGTTGTGTACTGCATTTCACATTCTGCTGTTGTGAGCAATTCTGAAACGAAATTGAAATAGTGATGAATTACATGTCTGTAGTTGCCTACAGTCCTGCACCCCATGCATTTATTACTTTGAGATTGGTTATATCCATTTGACTGTACTGAAGTCATGATTTTAAAAGAAGAAGAAAAATGTATTTTAATCAAATGGGTTACTCTACAAGAGTCATTAATATGAAGCTTGCAGGGCTTGTTCAAGTTCAACAAAACATTTCCAGCAGCTCATGCAGTCCAATGTGCTGCTGCAATAGCAACCATCCATTTTTTTCAAGATGTACAAATGCAGGAGTAGTCATCTTGATCATAGGATAAACCCCAAAGTCCAGGTTATGGTATTGGTTTTTATCATCACAACCAGTATGATACAAAACACATCAGCTCAAGCTTTTAAAACCACCAGAGGGAAATATCGTATTTTATTGATACACTTTTTAAAAAAGAGGATGCAGCTATCATGTGTCAAAAGCCAGGTGCACACTGGCAAGCAAGGTCTACGTGGCCTCCTTCAGCTGTAGGCAGCTGAAGAAGACCCCATAGCTCTCCCTGGTAGATGCATAGGTAGGTGAGTTTTCTGGCCAGAGCTAAAAAGTCTCTCGGCTGGTGGCAGCAAAGGGAAGCCTCCTAGCTCTCGCACTTTCATCTGCTCACGTGCCTGTCCCCCAGAAGTATGAGGGCTACGCCATGGAACAGGCACACTGGTGGAGGTGCAACTATTATGTGAGGAATTTTTAAATACCTAACTGGGACCACCAAAAAGGGGTATGTGACTATTATGTGATGAAAAACAGTATGTGGCGAAAGGATGAGGTCTTCTAAATATGTAATGGAAGATAATAAATTGAGAAGGCTTTAATAATTGTGATCATTATTTTGTAGATCTGAATTTATGATCCCCACTTTTGAGATGGTGCAATTCTCCAATTATTTTGAGAACATAACTGAAGAAATGTTAGTCAGAGAGTGGACTTCTTCCATTGGGGGGAAGGGACTCTTCACAGAGTGGTGAATATCCATAATTTCCCAAGAAGATACATGTAAAAGCAGCAAATGCATTTTAACTACTAAAAAAAGGTAAAGGTAGTCCCCTGACATTAAGTCCAGTCATGTCTGACTCTGGGGTGTGGTGCTCATCTCCATTTCTAAGCCGAAGAGCCAGTGTTGTCCGTAGACACCTCCAAGGTCATGTGGCCAGCATGACTGCATGGAGCGCCGTTACCTTCCCGCCGGAGCGGTACCTATTGATCTACTCACATTTGCATGTTTTCGAACTGCTAGGTTGGCAGAAGCTAGGGCTGACAGCGGAAGCTCACGCCGCTCCCCGGAATCGAACCTGCTACCTTTCGATCAACAAGCTCAGCAGCTCAGTGCTTTAACCCACTGCACCACCGGGGGCTCCAAGGGATGCGGATTTCTCCACTACTAAAGGGATGCGGATTTCTCCACACTAGCTACTATGTGCCTTTAACAATACAAAGCAAACTGATTTTAGACTGCTTACATTTTCTTTTAATTCAGTAAAAATAAAGAAAGACTATTGTCACCGTTTTAGTGTAATTGCCGTAGCTTTCTATGGAGATACATTTGCCTTTCTCTGTGTGTATTTGGGTTGCATACCCGTATTTGAGCAATGTCCCAATCGTTTTAACTTTTGTAATGTTTCAGATTCCTTTAATCTGAAATGGTGTTATTAAAGACATCTTTCTCACATTTCTTTGAGGCCTCAGGCTAAATAACACATTCTTATGTTGTTTTGCTTTCTTTGTTACATATATATGTGCACATACACATACACCATTCTCAAATGCAACCTTGGTTCCTTCCCAATAGATATTGCAAAAACAGTTTTACAGAGTGAAGGATCTGAGATTATGGTGGGCAATTTACGAAGTTAAGTCACAGGTCAGTTTATTATTTGATTTTAAATACTTTTCTCACTGTGAAAGATGGATGGGTTCTGTGAATGCAGCAAAAACTAACAACTATATGGCAATATTATTACAAAGAAAATATAATAACCCTTGGAAGTGTGTGAATTGTAGAAATTCTATAGCAGATGTAAACAACTCTACAAGGCCAGTTACAGGAATCACACATTCCTTGGTTGAAACTGGATGCCAGCTCACTTCTGGGCACAATTCAGAGTGCTAATGACAAACTATAAAGCTCTATATGGTTTCGGTCCAGTCTATCTAAAAGACCCCATCTCCTGACACAAATATTTTCAGAGAAAGGCTTTCTCCGTCCCATCGCCTCCACCATCCTCTAAAATCCTCTCAACCTGTGGGTCCCCAGATGTTTTGGCCTTCAACTCCCAGAAATCCTAACAGCTGGTAAACAGGCATGGATTTCTGGGAGCTATAGGTCAAAACACCTGGGGACCCACAGGTTGAGAACCACTGATCTAAATTACTTTTCTCCTTCCCTCTCTCTTTCCATCATTGTCTTTTTATTTTCACTTTCTTTCTCAGGGCCATAGACCAAGAGAAACATAGAACTATATAGCTGGAAGACATCTCAAGAATAATCTAGTTGTTTTCCCTGCCAATTATAAAACTATGGATATTCCTGACCAACTAACATCCAAAATCTTTAAACACCTACAATGAAAGACAATTCATCACCTTTTTGGGTAATCTGGATTGTATAGAGGTGAACAAATTAAATCTTTAATCCAAACATAGAAGAAGTGCCCCTAGTTGGTATAAAGCAGATCAGAGAATTCAGATTAAGCCTCCTGAAAACTCAAACATATAGTTTGGTGCAATCTTGGAGTCAGCCCTAATCTTGAATGCCTAGATTTCAGCAGTGACCAAGGAAGGGAGAGATACAAATTGAAGCACACATTTGTCCTGAGAGTATGTTGGTAACCACAAAATATTTTTTGCCTAGCCTTAGATGTTCCATCAACAAAATGAATGCCAAAAATAATTTTCACCAATACTGTCAAACTGACTCCAATTCATGTACCAGTAAATGACCACCAAGCAATTATGTGCTAACAAAATGGATGCTACCTGAATGCTCTGCTTTCAAAGCCACTTCCAAGAAATATTTGTACAATAAAATTAGTGGGAAGAAGAAAAGCTATTATGCAACATTTGCTATATAATTTTAATGTACCCTGAGGAGCTGCAGAAGACATAAAATAGTCTAATTTGACCATTCTTTATAAGAACGACATTGCATTATATTGTAACTTGTAACTAGTAAATAGTTAATGAATGTTAGTATTCATTAATGCTAATGAAATGAGAATTGATCTTTTAAAATTCAACATATTATCCTTAAAGAGATGCTAAGAATGCTATTCAGACCTCTCGCACACCAAGCATAATGTTCTTTTTGTATGAAGACTGAAATTATTTAACTTAATTCAATTAGAGACAAAGCAGTAGATGGAAAGGAGGAGGAAAAGAATGTAATATTAAAAAGTGTAAAACACTAACTTTTGCATCAATGCAGCAGCATAAACTATGCTGCCATAACCCTTC